TTTTGACAAGAAAGCATGGGATACATATTTTCAAAATCAAAATGGTAACTTTGATAATACTTAATTTTTAGTCACTTTTAATAATCCCATGATCACACTGCAATTAATTTCTCTAGCAGATAATTGTTTCTTATATTAAAAAGTTCTTCAATATCTGTGAAAATAAAATGTCATCCTGTTCCAAGTATATGTTCTATTTTATTCTCCTGAGTGCATAATATATTAACTCAATGCAAAGTGATGGGATAAATTAACTTTCACAACTAAGAAAAATGCAGCAGGTTATAATGTATTTTAAGAGTTTCATTTTAGCCCTATTTAAGCAGAATATTTTGTAATGTGTCTACATTTAAGCAGAAACCCAATCTTGCTGAAGTTCTAATACTATAAATTATCTTGCTCTATGTACATTTTAACTATGTACTACCATGTTCATGTGCTGAAAGAGAATTAAGGAGATTTTCACTATTTTCAATACAGGGAATATGGGCTGTGGTAACTTTTTAAATAAACAGGAGAATTCTTRGATCAACATGTGCATTCTGCAGCTGACATGAAGTTTAAACAATCCAAGTCTCACAGTGAAATTGCATTGAAAATAAGAGAATGGMAATGTGGCCATATTGAAATGTACCACAACACAATGAAAGAAGAATCTTCTGGGACATTCAAGCTGTCTTACAAGAAAATAATCACAAAGTAAAAATATTGTTAAAGGAAAATAAGGATGAAAAGTAACTACTGCATTAAAAATATAAAAAATAGGAAACCAATGGAGGACATAAAGGGGGAGAATTTTGTTTAATGTAAGTATCAGAGCACAGCAGAGATGTTTAAAATGTCATCAAGAATTTGATCATGGAGTATGRAATGAATACGAAGATTGTAATGTGAAAGTTTTTAAACCATAATTAAGCACTGAACTGGAGAATATCTTCATACAACATGCAGAATTTTTCCAAGCTTCCTTCCTGAATGAAGATGCAATTTGCAAGTGGTTCTAACGAGATTAAGTGCTGTGTGCTGTAGAAAGTTAGCTGTTTTGTTGCTCCTGTACTTTGCTAWTGTTCCCTAGTCTGCTACTTCACCTTTTCTAGCACTGGCTATACTAATTTTTCATTACAAGAACAACTTTTTCCTGATGGGATTTTATTATTTTAGGAAATACGAACTTTAAAGATAATGTTGCTGCCATTGTCTGGGTGTCTTAGGAGTTCTGAAATTTATATTTTAATACAATTTCATAGGACTCCAGTCTCTTTTTTCATGTTATGCTTTTTTCAGTCTTTACATTTTTCCCTCTCTTGCATCGCAGAGAGGCTCTGCAGCGAACAGGGAGAATTCCTTCAAGAAGACAAAGTAACCAAGAAGAAGATTCATGAAGGCACACAGTACACACACAGTGGTGTAACCACACATTTAGCAGCTCAAAGACTGAAACATTTCAAGTTAGGCAAGACTAGTATCAATAATTAACCACAAGCTGGGAGACCTTCATCAGTTCACCACATGGAAATGCTGAAAAGCCTGAACAGCTCATTAGGAAAGACTGACTAATAAACCCTTGCTGACCTTGGCTGCTCCTTTGAGCTGCAACTCCACCAGAGGGAGAAGCACACATGATACAGATTTTCTTCTATACGTGCATGCCGGAATATGGAAGTCCAACAGCAWACACTCATAACAGCCAGCCACCTTATGGATACAATTCATCTTATGTAATTTAAAAACAGCAATCTCAGCATCCTGAAGCAAAATTTCATAACAAAAAGTCAGCATATATCCACACATACACCAATGTTTTGGGTTTCGTAAGTACTGTGGCATAKCAAAGCTTTCAACATTATTCATCATTGGCCCCCGTATTTTAACAGTAGATTTCAAAACACAGTGACTTCTGACCAATCATTATACGCCTACCCTATGCAAGAATTCACATATGCACACACAAAACTGGGGGGGGGAAATTAAGTTTTCTTTTTCTCCAGAAAGTAATAATAAAGATCCCAAAGAGCATCCAGGCCAGATTTTTTTCAATTTAATCTGCTCAAAAGAATTCCAGCTTGTTTTAATAGTCTACCTATAAGAAATAAGATTTAGACAAATTATTGTAAAATGTTTTGATTTGGTGTTAAAACATCCAGTTTCTGATGTACCCTCTTTTACATATATGCAAAAGATATTTCAAATTGCCAAAATAAAAGTGAAATCACCCATTTCTAAAAAGAGGTATTTTGATAAGCATTCTGGCATACAACAACTTTCAAAACAATTCACCATTGCCTCACATAGTTGAATTAAAAATTTCAAAAYATAGCAGGAAAAAGCAGCACCTTTTGTTGTACTCATGTTATAATTAAAGAGCAATGGAAGCATTCATAAATGGAAGCATACCGACTATGAGGGAAAATAAATGGRAAAATGAAAAGGACTTAAAAAGCATGACACATGGAAAAACACRTTTGTAAAAGAATGAAATGGTCATCATAGAGCTAGAGCTTCATTACATTATAAACCAGTCAAATTTTTTATGCCTTTGTGGTCTCAGTAYAAAATAAAAAAGAATTATCTTTAAATTATCAGATAATTTTGACCCACACTAYGACTTTTCACATCCCTTTTTCTTCCACGATTTTCAATGTTTTCTGGGGCACTTTGAGGCACTGGTCTTTAATCTCAATTTATGATATGAAATTGTTTTCAAAGTTAAAGGAAGTTCGGTGAAAAGGAAATTACTTTCTACTTCTACATTTCAGCTCTTGGAACCTTCACAAAAAAGCAAAAATGCAAACATTAGCAAGGAGGCCACAAAGGTCACTATGAACACCTCATGATACATTCTTCTCTAAATGAGGCCAGCTTGCTTTTTCATAATGTCATGGGCAGTTTTACATCAACTGCATTACTGTTCACTRTTTCTTACACTTCAAAAATATGTTTATAACTATGTTACACGTAAGTATACAGGTATTTCTTTCTAAAATTTGCCATGAGATACTTTGAAAGATGAGAAAACAGAGGAAAAATATTATTATATAATAATTATTGAATAATTTACAAGCAAGCTTAATTTTTTCATTTTTTATCAAATACCTATTAACACTTCTTACAAGATTATTTTATGACATGCATCATGTARTATTATTATAAAAACCTAAAGACACTACTATTCTCAGTTTGGAAATAGGTAAAGGACCTAGCGAGCTGATGGAAGTCTAACAAAACCTGTATCAGAGAAAAAACACCCATGCATAGTGTACAGGGCCATACATAGGTTAGGGTTAGGATTTTCATYCCACCTTCAAAAAGGAGTATTAAACTTCCATGTAACTAAAGATGAAAGGATATTTGGTTCCTTTGTGCTAAAGGGAACAAGGAGACATTAGGGAAAAACTTAAATTTTTACTCATTTTATCAACTTATGGGAAAAAAAAAAAGCATGCCACACTCTTGGGCAGTTATGTGTTGGGTAAATATTAAGCACTGCAATAAGAATACTACCTCCGAGTAAACTCCTTTCTTTCAGAAGTCAGCAATCCACTTACACTATTTTGACTTAATGCCGTTGTCATTGACTTCTTTACTAGAAACTAGAGATTTGGTTCTGCAGGACAAACTGTAAAGGTGGTGACAGCTACGACTTATCTGTTGAGCAACTTCAATTCCAGTTCTACAATGTGCAAGATAATCTCCGACCTAAAAGTAAAACTGCCAGATACACAAACAGTGGGCAGGATGCTACCACCACACACACTCAGTTTAGAAGAAAGTATGAAACCGTTTCRGGGACTTCTTCTGAAAGACTCAGCTGACATCTAGTGGCAAGAGCAGGGAAAGCAAAACACTTCACTACAGGAACAGTCTCATGCCTTAAAAATACATCATTCAGTRTTTTGTAAATATTAAGCGAAAAATTCAAGAAGTCCTTTGAATGCAGCAACTGCATTACCCTTTTTTAGACATTACCTTCATGTGGGCAATTCAGGTGAATTATATACATTAATTAACTCTATTTCTGTGCTGTTACAGTAAATGGTACAGACTAAACCAATTCCAAGTTAAAGCAACAGTATTTAAATAAATCACAAAAGATAAGAAAAAATCCTTTGAAATTAAAAATAAAATAATAAAGGAAAACAAGAGAAATGCAGAGAAAAAAATGCTCTTTAAAATAGTAGGGACATAGAAGAACCTCTTAAAGTAGACAAGCTATAAGAATCTGCCYAGTGACAGTTAATATATCAGTGTACTGGATTATCAGAATCCCTGTGTTAGGAAACCTATTTTCCACTCTATTTGCCTTAATGATGACAAAGGAAATACAAAATGTTTTGTAACTGATGACCTGAAYACTAAGGATTTAGATATGGACCTTTATTAGAACACAGTGCGGCTATGTGTAAGAATATATCATAAMTGGTGAGAAAAGGAAGATGCTGTTAATTTTAACCAGGGGTGAACACCAAACTCAGTCATACTGCCATTTCAGTTCTTGCTTTTATGATAAAAACACTTTCTTGCAATATTTCATTTTACTTACCAAAGGACAGAGAAAGTGACTTCTAATACTAAAGGGTATTATTTCCRATTTTCATAACTAGTTGATCAAGTTTATACTTTGGAGACATCAATATTGTGTGTTCAATACTAAACTTTAGAAAGTCTCACACATCCTTACTGCTCTCACATTTCTTCTACAGAAATGTTTCAGTGAGAAACAGTMAGTAAATACCAGTGCCAGTGTAAAAATACTGCACTGCTTATTTAAGAGAACAATAAGGAAAACTACAGAGGAAAAAAGTAAAACTGCTTTTTGACATMATTTATGAGTGCAGGCATAGATTTTAACTAGATTAATTTAGTTGGCAGTCAACCGAAAACAACTTCTAGAAAGAAACTATTGATTACTTAACATTTAACAGAAAGTATATGTTTGCACTACTTATATCATAAAACACACTAAAATCAAGGAAAGAAAGTAAATCATTACAAAAATATACCTTTAATGTTTCAATTTCTTCTTTGTGTTCTCTCTTTAAATGCAGAATGGCAGCTTGGTACTCTGTAGAAATAAAAAAAGTACATTCCATTACAGTCAGAAAACAATGTGCCATCTTCAGCATAGAATATTTCATAGAACACCACTCGGTCCAGAATACAGGTGTAGGCTCTCAAATAAATGACCTTTTACAGTGGTGATGGAAAAGAAAATCTGAACACAGTAATTAGCATTTTTTTCTTAGGCCACATGACCAGATTTTCCATGGTGTTTCAGAGAGAAGAGGATAAAACAGAGGTCTTCCATGCTGAGAAGGCAAAACAGGGGGAGGACATGATAGACTTAAACAACAAAAGGAAACTTTAATTTTGCTTAACTTTGCAGCTAAATGTAAAACTGATAGGATATTATGACATGCACATGCACGCACGCACACACTCCCATGTGAATTCTAAAATAACATGCATCAAATACAGTAATTTAMATGGAACTGCAAACATACAATCACTATACACAGTCAAACTGGGTAAAATAGCAATCACAAATACAAACGAAGATCTCAGAAAGTACCAAACAGCAARATACAAGTAATTCTTTGTATTAATTCTATCAGATGATAATTAATTACAGAGTTGAAGTACAGAATACTGTGAATGAGATACAAGATAGCTCTGGAATTTATCAAGAGTATTACCAAATCCAAAGCCTGAAAGCATGAAACAGAAAGCCAGAGAAATTCTCAGTCTGAACCATCAGTGCATTTGGCCAGATGAAGAAAGAGAAAYCCTTTCAATACCCTGGTGTCAGAGTTTAAGAGACCTTAAGAGAGTCTTCTGGAAGACACCAGGTCCAGAAGCTACAGMTCCTAAACAAGTCACAGGAATCTGTTCTTAGATGATCAAAGTCCCACTTCCATCTGCTTTCAAATAAAAAATCCACCAAAATTGTATTTCAAGTTTCCTGGCTTGGCTTCTGCTTCCTCAACTAAATCCTAATTTAAACAAGGATTGAAAACAGTCCAAAGAATTTAAATTTTACTTTTAATGTTCTCTAAGACTAAGGAGTTTGTAAGATCCATTCAACAGAAGAACCAACAAAATAGCATTGAAGTATCAACRTATGGACCAAAGTACCAGATCAGTAAAATATTCCAGSGCTTAGGTGTTTYTTTTTTTAACTTTGTTTTTTTCTTTTTTCTCTTCAGAGCACATGAAGGAAAGAGGAAAGAAAAGATGGCTTGCTCATCACCCTGAAATCTGCATCAAATGGGAACCTGTAAAGCTATTTTTCTCAAACACAGGTGAAGCTATATGCTGAAGCAATTTATGTGATACACAAAATCAAAAGGGATCAATATTTTACAAAGCATAAAACAAAAGCCTTGGTGATTCTAGCTAGTAATAGTATCTATGGAAACTTCTCCTGCCCTCTAACATGTCTCTGTTTAGAGCTTTCCAGCATGGGTAAAGTGCCTGACTGCTCCACTGAATCAGAACCAGTTAGGACTACAAGCTTTTAGATTTTCTGCTATTAATTCCTTCGACTGGTTGATATTCCCTCTGGATACAGGCTCTGCATATCCATTCACCCAAACAGGACTTAAAACAGTTGCCTCAGATCCCCAGAAAAAGCTGTGACCCTTCTGGCACCTCAGCTGCTTAAGCACWCAGTTTGCAGGGCATGAACCTTATGAACGTCCTGACTTGAAGGTTAGCTCTTTAAGGTCACATGATAACTGAAGTAAACAGGCTTTGAAAATGCTCSTAACAATCAGTTCTCAGTTTAGCTAACAGAAGGATACTGATCTATCTTAACAAAAGATCTACTTTCTATGTGGGATTGCCCAATACTTAAAATTCTTTGGGATTTGGGTAAGAGAGTCATAATTCACCTATGCTGACATAGACCTGCACTAGCACCAGAAGCAGATTTTTCACCATGTCTACCCAATCCCAGCCCACTTGCTTATTTTTTTTTATCTTGGCACAAATGTTTGTGCAATTAGAAAACGATGGAAGAATGCCTGTGAATGAAATCTAACACAGCATAAGAAGTGTATATATTTTGTAACAATTAAGTATATGTCATTTTTGGTGTATGTTTTTCATTACTTCTAGCTGAAAGCTCTGAAACAGATTCTAGAGATTGTTTTTAAGCTTTGTTCCAAAGCAGACGTAAGACAAAGTAGCAATTCTTTTACTGTTTACTTATTTCTTCAAAATAAGCTCCGAAAGTACTAAGCTATAAGAATTCATAATCCTAACTAATTTCTTAAAACACTGCTACTGCATAAAAGCAAGTGCATCATAAACTGATAGATGCTAACAGATTTAACAGACTATCAACTATGATACAAATTGGTATTCAACGGCATAAGYTTCTTTCGGTTCTTTCTGCCATTATAATATTTTTAACTAGAAGAAATTATCTATTGGATAGAAGCTGGCACCCAGCAAAATACTTTAATTCTCAAGGATATATTTTTCTGTACAAGATATTATAACAAAAATCACATCACAATTACATTGTCTTGCACAGTATGAAGTAACTCGTGTCCATTCCTTTTCTAAGTTTTGTGAAATCACCTTAATTTAGTATAATTCTACATGAATAGTTAACATCTYAAGAAAATATCCTGCATACAGAGAYGGCAATTAAAATCATTATAATGCTGAAGAATTTAACTAGAAAAATAATCACATTCATGTAATTCCAAAATATCAGTTCCTTAACATACTGGTGAGAGAATAATAAAAGTTTAATTATGCAGATGCTGCTTGCAATGGTAAAAATCACAACAGCAAAGTAACCAACAATGACATATTAACARATGGAACTATACTGGGAACAAAATATCAGTCAAGCTTTATAAACTAGTGAATTCTTAAATTCCATTTAATTCACAAAACAAATTGCGTAGACTACACACAAAATCCAGAAATACCAACATATCACAGAGTGATTTGTCTAGGTTAAAAATTAACAATGCCAGAGTTAAAGAAATCTGATACGGTTCCATGTGTAGCCCACCTGATTCTCACATGATCACTGTAACTCATTTGGTCTTATTAGTTAAGACACATGAACACAGGAGGGTAGCTCTGAGAGCCAGCCCAGATCCAAGGCTGCAGCTCAACTGTATGCCCTCCCGCTTCCTGGTGCTGCCATACCKTAAGGTCCTGCAAGACTGACCTAGAAAAAAAGCTTTTCATCACAAACCAGAATGGCTGAGATTGGCAGGGACCTCTGGAAGCCATCTGGCCTGCAGCACCACCKCTCCCAGAGCTGGTTACCCAGGACCATGTCCGAACAGCTTTTGAATACTTCCAGGAATCTCCATCCTCCTCATCTTCTATGGGCAACCTGYGCTAGTTTCTCAGCCACCTTCACAATGAGAAATAGTTTCCTGATGTTTAGCCAGACTTTTCTGTGTTTCAATGTGTACTCACACTGATTCTGATACCATGCACTACCTGGCTCCCTCATTTTTACACCCTACGTTATAGTTCCAAGMTGATCCTTGTGTCACAACAGGACTCTTTACTGTATTTCATGTCAGCTTTGTGCAATGTCAGGGGGATTGCATTTTCATGAAATCAAAGCATCATTAATGCTGGAAAAGACCTCCAAGATCAAGTCCAATCTTTGACCAAGTAACTCCATGACCATTAAACAGTATCAAGAAGTGCCATGTCTACCCATTTTTTGAGTATTTCCAGGGATGGTGACCTGTTTCACTGCTTAACCACTCTTTCCTGATAGCCAAACTGAACCTCCTCGGTGCAACTTGAGGCCATTTCACCTTACCCTATCAGTAGTGGACTGGGAGAAGAAACCAATCCCCTGCACACTACCTTCTTTCAGGTASTTGTAATGAGCTATAATGTTTCCCCTGAGCCTTCTTTTCCCCAGACTAAACAACCCCAGCTCCCTCAGCTGCTTCTCACAGGACTCATGTTCCAGAACCCTCATCAGCTTTGTTGCCCTGGACAGGCTCTAATGCCTCAATGTCAATTTTCTGAAACTTTAAATTATTTTATGATGATGGATAACAGAAAGCTGATTGCACAAATATCCTGGTGTACTGCCTGGTCTCCAATTTGCCTGCCGAGAACACAGGGGCTGTAGGGCATAAATAAGCTAGCTTCCCCTTAAGCAGWTATTACTCCTAATGACTTTTGAGACGAATTAGATAAAAATCAGATGAGTATCACTCATTGARTATCACTCATGGAGAAAGAGTGGACAAATTCCTACAATTTTTAGACATCAACATCTGCTAGAGYAAAAATTATACAAATACACAGAGAACATTATAGGTACAAAGGTATGACACCCAAGTTTTATTCATGTTCTCTTGAATAGCAACTTTTAATTTAGAAAGTATGGGAACCCAGGAAATGACAGATGATTTAGGAATGCTGCTCCCCACCAAAACTATCCCAAATGGCACATTGCTCTCTTGCTCCTCCTTCCCCTCTCCCTTCCCGCTGCAGCAGGATGGAGTTAAGAATTGGAGGCATCAAAAGTGAAGATCACAGATTGACTGACATATGAACCGTTTATGGAAAACAGCAATGAGATAAAAAAATGAACAGTAATGGCAACAATATAATTAATAAAAGTATACAAGACAGAGGGTGATTCCCATGCAAAAAGGCTCACCCTGGACCCTGGGACAACATACAACGGAGTACGGCTTCTGCTTCCTGCCATGCTTTTTGACAGGAAGCCAGAGTGAGTCCATTTCTTCTCACCCCTAACAATGATGTAAGGTGGATCAAATGAGATTAGGGTCCTGGATGAAACTAGAACATGAAGGAAATGGGAAATGCTAGCAGTTGAATTGTGAGGGAGAAAGACATCTCTCAGACCAGACTACTTAGAAGTCCACTTAATGGCAGTCTATACAGACAATATAACTTTCCTAACCTAAAATCATCAATGGCATGTGCAGGGAAATTCTAACAAGTTCCAATATAAGTTGCTTTAATTAATGCAAAATTGTCTTAACATTGTCCTATTTCCTAAGAAGCATCCATGCAGCTGTAACAAACATGACT